TTTTTTTTTTTTTTTTTTTTTGTACTCAGTTTTGTACACAGTTTTGTGCGCATTTATCTCCCTTGATATGCTACATGGTTACCTTTTGATATTTTTGGCAAAAAATTTAAGTAGTGATGCTGAATTATAAATAAAATAAGCACAAGACAACCAAATACATGAAAGTAAAATAGCAGAAGAAAGCAGGATTGTTCAGGCAGACCAGGTTGTTCACATGACTCTTTTCTCCACCAATTGGGGACTGGCCAGAGGCAAAGCTGTGCTTTCATTCTGTTTTAAGGACCAGGAGCATCTTAGGGGAGGAAAGAGTTAGTTTATAGATGCAGTCCACCACTGAGGGATGTCAGAGCAGGAAATCAAGCAGGTACTTTGAGGCAGTCCTGCACTCTCTTGGATACAACATTATCTCCAATCAAGGAAATTACTTCACATCAAAGCAGTACAGCAAGGGGAAACTACTTGATTCCTGGCTCGTGGGCTGGCGTATACCTGGCTGGCTTTCTTAGGCAGCCCAGGACCACCTGCTCAGGGAATGGGCCCACCCACAGTCGACTGGGCCCGGCTTCATCAAGACCGCACAGACAAGCTCACAGGCCATTCCAGTCTGGGGAATATCTCAGTTTGTTCTCCCCTCTCGGGTGACTCTAAGCCGTGTCAAGCGGGTAGTTAAAGCTGACTAGAAAAGACAAGGAGTCGCAGTTGTGGGTCTGGTCCCTTCTGACTCCGGGCAGAACAAAGCGAGCCCAGCTGTCACTGCATGGAGCCTGCACAGCCCTCTGTCCTGCCACTTTCCTGCAACAGGGAAGCGTCAGTGAGGGAGACAGCACAGAGCTTCAGAAATATGTAAGTGGAGGCTCCATGGGAAAAAAAACAAAACAAAAAAACCTAGGAAGAGGGAGCTCTCCACAGTGAGCTTGGCCAGGTTTCCAGATGCTAGACCAGTCCCCAGACATTTGAGGAAAAGGTTTTGCTTCCTCTGAAAGCCTTGACTCTTGAGTGCTGGAGACTAACGTGTTGTCTCCAAAGCATCCTACTATGACCTTTCAGTCATAAAACTGCACTCAAACCCATGAGGATGCAAGGCAAATATTAGCCGAGTGCCATGGAAACCATGAATATTCATTAGCTGCCCTCACCACGATGATGATTAATACTCTAATGGCCATGAACATCTGAACTCTTTTATAGACAATTGAGTTTGAGAATGGCTTATTCTGCCTGTATGAAAACCAATTCTGTCTACGTAAAAAACCATGGTAATTGACTAATATTGACTCGTAGTTTCCTGTGATAAAATACTGTCCAAAAGCACAACTTAAGGATTAATTTTAGGGTTAAGGTTGGGGCTAAGAAATGGTTTGTTTCGGCTTACAGGAGACATTTCATCATCACAAGAAGCTAGGGCAGGAACTCACGCAGGTGTCAAACCGGAAGCTACAGAGGAATGCTGCTTGCTGGCTTACTCTCCATGGCTCGCTCACCTTGCTTTATTTTACAGTCCAGGGCTTCCTGCCCAAAGTTGGCACTGCCCATGGTCAACTGAGCACTCCCACATCCATCGTCAATGGAGACGGTGTTGCCCCCCCCCCCATGCCCACAGGCCAATCTGATGGAGGCAATTCCTCTACTGACATCCCCTCCCCGCAGGTGACTCTAGTCTGTGTCAGCTTGACACAGACTGGCCAGCACATATCTAGCAAATAAGAGTTTATAGTTATTTAGCTCCGATCACACTCCTGGACTATTTGAGTAATAGGCATCCTTTAGTTAGACACACACACACACACACACACACACACACACACACACACACACACACACCTACTGACCTTACTCGTGTACAAATCAAACTGTATAGAGGCTGCTGGAGGGAGAACATGCATCTGTGAAGCTCTGACTTACATCTAAACATCTTGGTGGTATGATTTTGGGCAAAAGAACCATTTACTCACAGCCTACCAAGTTTTGCAGAAGAGCACATTGTTCTCTCTCTCTCTCTCTCTCTCTCTCTCTCTCTCTCTCACCAGAGGATTATGAGGAGCAACCAGGACCTATGTTTATGATGACTGTCAAGAATAGAAAACTACGTGTTTTGTATAATTATAAAAAATAAATAAATTATATCTTTTGCATAATTATAAAAAAAAATTGTAGCTGGTGTGGTGGCGCACACCTTTAATCCCAGACCTTGGGAGGCAGAGACAGACTGATCTCTGTGAGTTCGAAGTCAGCCTCATCTACAGAGTGAATTCCAGGACAGCCAGAGATATGCACAGAGAAACCCTGTCTCTCTTTATATATATCTTATTTTACCTTGGCACTGGACTTTAAATACATTCATTATAATAGATCTTTGGTTTAGGAAAGAAACCAAAGCTTCACGTGAACACTAACATCTTTAGAATAAGATTTTTTTGTTTCTTTGTTTCTTGGTTCCTTTTAGGCCAACCGAGCAGTAAGCACCATTGGGTTTGTGGCGGCCGCTATCGATATCTTCACGTTCCTCGGCTTGTTCCCAAAGAGACAAAGAACAAAATATTAGCAGCTTATTGAAGAGATTGAAATTGAAGGAATCTGCGAGGAGACAGAAATTCTGGGGTGAATACTTATTTTGAACGCATCATTATTTCTCCCGGTCCCCATGATGGATGGCAGACTCTGTAATAAATTGCTTGCTGATTTTAATCTTATCATTGAGACAAGAAAAGTTTTTCCCCACTAGTACAGACTCGCTGGGGCAGCGTGAACACAAAGCGGTTGCCTTTTGATGGGGCCAGCTGAGGCTCTTAACAAAATCAAGATCACGTTTTATCTTCTGCTGTAAATATTGCTTTCCTTTCCCCTAGGGACAGCTATTTTGCCAGAGGTGTGGAGAACCATTTACATACGCTTCTGAAAGACAGTTATTAGGGCCAACATCTAAATTCATATTCCTTTTCTTGTCAGAAAAAAAAGGCAAGAGGATATAGCCAGTCTTTGCTTAGGCAACCTAAGGCTCTCTGAACGACAAAGTGTTTTTGCTAGTACCCCGATATGGCTGCACCTGTGTGGGTGTGATCATGTAAGAAGAGGGTTGGAAGGGCTTTTGTGTATGCATAGAAACTTAGAAATCGTTTGCCTGTGGAGTGACAGTCTTGGTGACAGTCTTTGCTCTTGCCCCCGCCTTTTTTTTTTTTTTTTTTCCTGAGACAGGGTATATTGTCCTTCACAGCTTATGGCAGGCTAGCCACCCCATGAGCTTCCTGAGAGTCTCATGTCTCTACCCTCATCTCACTGTAGGAAATACAGTGAATCTGGGATTACAGATGTGCACTACTAAGCCAAGCTTCTAGGGACTCCGGGGATCTAAACTCAAGGCCTCATGCTCATGTGTAAAATGTTTTGCCTACTGAGGCATCTCCTGGCTTTTGCCTGTACTTTCAGACCTGGTGAGTTCCCTAGAATCTACTTACTTGACAGGAATCAGTGATGAGCAATGGGTTGTATTTTTATTGAGTTAAATTGTTCCCTCTAGATTGTATAGTAGCATGGTGGTTTGACCTTTGAGCCTTGGCAAGTGATCATTAATATTGACGTAAAGTGCTATATTTAGAACACAAAATCCCATATCCCTTTAAAGACTTTTACTGTAAGCCAAGGAATTCCATTATTTTATTCTTCTGTTTTATTGATTATGTGTTGAATTAAACTACTTTTTAAATACCATGCCTGTGGAACTCTTGGTAGCAGCAGCCCAAGAAAGGTGGAATGTAAGTCTTTCTACATGAAGATGATGTAAGGTTGTCATAGCATTACCCCATAAACCACACAGCCAGCCTGGCATCCTTTTTGTACTATTATCAACAGCGTGTCAGTCAATAAGGAAACTGTGTCAGTAAACCTGGGGATAGGATGTCATTAGAATATGGTAAAGTAACCACTCAAGACTCAACGGAAACCTCACACCTATGAAACTTGTTTTACCCTGGGGCTCGACACACTCAAGCTAATGGGAGTGGGCAATAGTAATGGTTAACTGAAGAAGCGTGTGCTGCCATTCCAGCCTCAGAGACCCTCTGTCTCTTCTTTATATGTCCTTAACAGGTCCTTCTTGTTCTAACCCCCAAACTCAGTCTTCCCCACTTGGTGTTGTGAGAAAACATGAGGTCACTTTTATCCTGGATGCAGGGCTCTGTTCCCGAATAACAAAGACTGTGCCCTTTCCTAGGGTTGTCCAGTTTAGGCGAGGCGGGCTGCAGCAGCTGGGTTACTTTCCCCTGGTGTGCCAACTTCTCCATAAAAGGTATTTAGAGAGGGCAAATCAATTCATAGCAGGGCATTTGTCTTTGGCAAAATTACTCCACTATCCAGGAAGAGGAAGTAGGAGAATTCAGGACCAAAAGCCTCAGGTGGCTTCAAGTCAAACCTTTCTCGAGAGCTCTGACATCTCCACTCCAGAGGATAAGCAACACGCACTTTTTAACTCATAGGTTCATTTCCTCGTTAGCCGTGTGAGGCTTCAGCAGCCTCAGTTTGCCATGAACATGGTCAGTCTTAGGAAGAGCAGCTCAAAGCAGCTGGCTTTGGTTTCCTGTAGGTACTCATTACCCATGCGATTAATGGAACTTGTACTCAGATCAGCTATTTTCCCAACACTACGAAATGTTGTAGGCATATTTTTAACAATCAGTAATGAAGTTCAACTCTGTCACATTCCAAGAAATGAAATGTAAAGATTACCTGCACCAGGTGATATAGGTTGTTGGTTAAGACTGAGAAAGAAAAGCCTGCATTTTATTGAATATGTACATGTGGTGATATTTTATTTACGCTCTAGCAAATAGAGATTACCTGGGGAGCGGAGGACAAAGCCAGCCACTGTATTAAACACAGAGGTCAGGCAGTGGTAGCACACACCTCTAATCCTAGCGTTCAGGAGGCACCTATTCATTCGGATCTCTATGAGTTCAAGACCACACTGGGAACACAGCCAGGTGTGGTGACACACGCCTTTAATCCCAGCACTGGTAAACCATAGAGGTCTGGAGGTCGGTACAGACAGACAGGAAGTGATAGAGCTGAGTGGAAAGAGGAAGTGATGTAGCTGGGCAGAGAGAGGAAGTGAGATGGCAGGGCACGGAAAGGATCTAGGCAGGAGTGTACAGGAAGTAGCTCTCTTGGGCTGAGGATTTCCCAGTGGTAAGAACTTGTGACTGTGGCTTGTTCTATCCGTCTGATCTTTCAGCTTTCACTCCAATATCTGACTCTGGGTTTTTTTTTTTTTTTTTTATTTATTAATAAGACCATTTAGCAATTCATGTTACATCTACATATAACAAATAAAATCTGCTATCTAAATGTCACACTGTATCAACTGAATCTATTCCTTCTAAGAGTCAATTGACTGAGTAGGGCTGGCAGCTAGAGGAAACTTTTGCCCATATAGTTTCAAGGATGCTTTACATTTTTTTATGATAAGCTAATATGCTTTAAAAAAAACAGATTTATTTTGTTTTTTTAAGTGCGTATGTGCACGCATGCGTGCCTGCAGACGCCAGAAGAGGTGCCAGCCAGATCCCCCAGAGCTGTTCGCTGCTCAGTGTGGGTGCTGGCATCCACACTGCTCCTCAGCAGCGCTCAGCTGCTGAGCCATCTCTCCAGCCCTAAAATCTTTTTTTAAAAGACTTTTAATTTTGTTGTTTTTGCTAGCCACTGCATTAGTTACTTCTCACATTGCCAGTTATTAAATACCTGACAGACGCACATTAAGAGAAGAGGGGTTTCCTTGGCGCACGGTTTTAGAGGGATTGCAGTCGGTCACCTGGGAAGGTATGTCAGCACAAGTGTGGAGCATCCGGTCACACAGTGTCCACAGTCAGGATGTGAGAGAAAGGAACACTGGTGCTCACCTTTTTTATTCCATCAGGGACCAGGTCCATGGACGGCACCACCAACATTTTGGGCAACTTTTCCCATCTCAGTAAAAACATTCTAGAAACATCTTCACAGGCGCACCAGAGATGTCTTCCCTACGTGATTATTAATTGTTACAGCCAGTAAATTAGACAGCTTTAAAAATATTACTCTCCAAACAGCTGTGAACACAGGAAAAGCTTACATATTTGTTTGTGCACATATGCCCATTGGTACTGCTGGTTTGAGTAGCAGTGTTCAGAACGCCATTCACAGTCATAGTTTGCTAAAATGTTGAAAACTAAAGATGTCAGAATGGTAAACCAACAACTATCACATAGTGAATCCATATATTGTGGTACTAGTCACATAGTTGATATTCGTAGCACTCAACTGATAAATTGCCTATCAATTTATGATTACAGAAGATCTGTTGAATTAACAAACTCAGATTTAGTATTTAAAGGAAAACCTAGTAGTTAATTTCAAATAGTCACCAGAAATATTGCCTCTCAAGCTCACAGCACAGGTGATACACATTAAAGGAACTAACTCGTGTGGAGAACACATTCTCCTGTGGTCTTTAATGGATGTCTACGATGATTTGGATAATTAAAATTATGAAATGGGCTGCCTAGCAGATCTTCATTCTTGGGATCAAAACCTTCTTCAGAATTTTGTTTTTAAGATGATCATAGATGAGTTCAGGGAAACTTCTAAAGTTAGAATTTGGTATTTTTGTGTGTCAATGGTAATAATAACAAAAGTAACATACTTTATAAGTGAAAAAACACATTTAAACAGTTTATTTGATTACTTTAGTCTACTCTGAACTGTCAAGTTCACTGGCCCCATACAATAAGCTTTGGGAATGTACAGAGTTGGTGTAGTTTGCTTACATTTAAACAATGCCCATACCATGATTCCCAGTGATTTGCACCTATCTCTATTGTTCCCACTTCCACACAACTCTGGCTTTCTGTGCAGTCAGGGTGGAATTATTCATTCCTTTCTCTCTCTCTCTATTGAAGCCATACCAAAGATACAACAACAGGGAGAATTCAGTGATTCGGGGCCAAGATGTATACAACAATGTGCTTCACAAGTTAACATAAGATTAAGGAAACTTAATATCAATTCATGCATCAGTCAAATTTTCAAATACTAAATACTTCCTCAATGTTCCTTCTCACTTGATGTCCATACATCTAGTTTCATTGCATGAGAACAATGCAGTTAAAAAACAGTACATTATGAATACAGTTTATTAAAATGATGATCTGAGACATGCAGTTTTTTTTTTCTCTCACTAGTGAAGGATAGCATGAATGCAAGGGTTCTTTGCTGCAAGGCTCGATATATTGAAGTGCTTTGAATGCTTAGATGGAGGAGAAAAGGAGAGTATACAATTTTTACCTCTCCACAACGGTTAGTTTGGGAGACAAAAGGTGATGTTGGGGAACAGGCATGGCAGCTATTCAGGTTATAGTCTGGTCCAAAAGTGCTGTTCTGCAGCTTGCCCTCCCAGCCTGAGTTTCCCTCTGGGGGCCTGTTCAGAGCTTTCATAGGCTTTGTTGATGTAGAATCCATTTTTGCCATCGTCTGCATAATCCGTCCTGTTCGTGGGAGGCCAGGTAGAGTCTTCTGCCAGCTTTCTCTGCAAGATCCTGTACTGACTTTTTGAGTAGAATCCATATTCTTTCTTTATAAACAGCCAGAGCTCTCTATTTTGAAGGATGGCATCCTGAAAAATCGGAGGAGGGGTGACAGTGAAACCATTGTGCTTATGCGAGTGAGCCCCTCACAGGCAGACAGCACTGGAAGCCTGGCACCCTGGGCTTCCTCTCTGCTGAGCTCAATGCAGCTGCCTCTGATGCTGTCCTGTCCCGTCTCCCCACCCCCCTACCCCCCACCTCCCCCACCCCGGAGCTGAGATGTTTCCAGGCACAGACACCTGCTGACCACCAAAGGCCTTTCCTTTCTGCAGACTTCCTGGTGAAATCCTGGCTGGATATTCACTTACAGTTCTTTCCCTAGGGGGCTCAAACTAACAATAACACACCACATATCAAGAAAATAAAACAGAAGAAAGGAGATATGGGAAGAGAGGAAGGGAGGGAAGGGGAAGAAAAACCAAGAAACGGAGTCCTGCCACTTGCCACATACAAAGTGCCAAATTTTGTTGACTCAATAATTAGTCTGCAGCAATCAAATATTTTTAAAATTTATTTTTATTTATGCATATGTGAGTGCTGGGGTGGGGATATGTGTGTGTGCCTACAAGAGTCTGCAAAGGCCAGAAGGTGTCAGATGACCTGGAACTGGAGTTACCCAGGTGGGAAGCTGTCTGATATGGGTGTTGGGAAACAAAGTCAGGTCCTCTACAAGAGTAGCAAGCACTCATAATCACCAAGTCTCTCTAGTCCCTCAGAATTATTTTGTTTCCCATCCTTTTGAGTTCCCTTTTATTCTTTCTTTATGCAGTTTTTACAAACAACAGAATTAATCCAATTTTGCATCGTACTTTTCCTTTGTTTACACTAGATTTTCTGTCATATACAACTTCTCTGTAATTATATCTTTTAAGATATTTTATTGTAGTTAAAGCTGTAGTTGTCTTATTATCTTTAAAGACTCCAGCATTTCTTCATAAGTATTTAAACACATCATTCGAATTATATTTTGCTGCCGTACATAACACTATCACGAATCTCTTCATACAACTTAGGATTTAATTTTTTTTCTGTCTCATTTAAAAAATTGGATGTAAAGGTGGAATTCCTGGATGAAAGAGTATTTGAAATTTACACACACACACACACACACACACACACTCCTACTTAATTTGGCTGGTCTTTTCCCTCCAAAGACTTGCTTATTTTTCGAGTCTAACTCCTTTTGAAAAACACCATCCAAACCGTCTACTGCGTGGGTGAGCCATTCAGCTCTGACTAGAAGAGACCACTCATGAGAAGGCCTCCAAGAGTCACAGTTGCTGACATGGAAAGTGGGCTTCCTTGTTTTCCTGACTAGAGGAGCCCCTCTGAAGATGCTGCTTCACTCTGTCTGAAACGTCTCCTCCTGTTTCAGAGCGGCTGGGTCACCTAGGTCTCGCTTCTTGATGATTGAGAAGAGTAGGGAGTAAATACAGCGCCCCTTGCGGCAAGCGCTGGAACTGAACTGTTGTTTTGCTTTCTATGGAGAAAGACTCGAGGAATATTTCTCAGCAGTCTTCCAAGAATTTTAAGCCATACTCCAAAGAATTCCTCCCAAGAAGATCCTGCCTCAGTCTTCAGAAGACCCTTACTTATCCTTTTGGGGAGAGTGAAGAAGTTGCTGTAAACAGTGAATGTATGTTGAGAGTGGGACTCTGAATTTACATATCTACCTTTAAAAAAATCATAGGAGCCAATACTTTACCTCCACGAAGAAGATCACACAGAACTGGACAAAGGCTGCCACCAGAATTGAAACTCTCCATGATGTGATGGTTGGGATGAACTGTTGAAAAAGAATGGCCACCATTATATATTGTATGTTTTACATTTTGAAAAAGTACACCATGCTTTTTACTATTTAGAATTTCTGTATTTGTAATAACCCCGAAGTTAGAGGGTGGGCATTGTTTTCTCTGCTTTGCAGATAGGAAAGCTGAAGGCTGGCACACCTCATCCAAGGACTTACTCAAAGCCAGAATCTGAACTAAAATGGGTCCCTCCACAGCCAGATGATGTCTGTCAGGTTCGTCAATAAGACGCCTTGGTCAGTGAAGCAAAGGACACTTTGGAGCTCATGTGGCCCTCTTTATTTATGCTTTAAAACATGGTGGAGAGGACATAAAATTAAATCATTCTTCTGCAATTCTTACGGTTTTCTGTGCTCCTAAAGCAAAAATTTACATGGAATTCATTGTTGTTTTTTTTTTTTTTTCCTCCAGCAAAATTGACTTGTAGGTTAAAAAAAAAAACATAAGACTAAGGTTGCTTTGACTGAGTATGATGTTTTGGACAAATGTTACTGGTACCAAACAAATACTACAACCCATAACAAATACTACAGGGTCACAGACTCACCAGGAAACATGTCCGTTTATTAGAAGTGAGAGCCACACACACAGCGGGTCAGGAGCTGTGCAGCCCAGTTTCTGATGCACGGAGAGTTAGATGGAATGTGCAGGAATCTGAGGTCGAAAAATCACAGAACCCTCTACCCCCTGGTGTCTGACCCGGTGGTCCTCAACCTGTGGGTCGCGACCCCCATGCGGTCGCTTACATAGCAATGCATAACAGTAGACAGATTACATTTCTGAAGCAGCAACTAAAGTAATTTTGTGTTTGGGGGTGTGTGGCTTATCATAACACGAGGAACTGTATGAAAAGGTCACAGCATGGTTGAGAACCACTGGCCTAGCCACTCACTTCAAAGTCTCATCCGCATCCCGGGATGGGCCCTTTCAAGGCACTACTTGGCCCTTTGTTTCCCCAAGCAGGGACAGCCTCTACCTGGGCTTTGAGGCACAGCACATTAGGTGGAAGGAAGGCTGTGGAGAAGCTGAGTCCTATACCCTGGCCCACTCAGATCTCATTGCTGCCTCCACCGTTACGGGGAAGGCTTTTCTCCATCCCCGGCCCGGGGAATGGTCTTGGTTCGGAATTCTTCACAAGCAGACTTTCTTCACTTCCCAATTACTCGGAGCAACCTCTTACTTAGCTTCTGTTCCTGAACCAAGCACATTCCGGAGCTCTGTAATTCACGGGCTATGGAAGGACTGCCCGGGTTTTCATTTCCTGTCTCTCTGTTGCCTTGCTGTCCTGCCCGTGTTTAATTAATCTGTTTGAGACGTCCTTCCAAGGAACCTTCAGCGTCTCCCTGTTATTTTGGCAGGAAGTACAAAGATGGTTGGCTGCCTTGGAGGGTGCCTGCCTCGCTCAGTTTCCTCTGTTCTCCACGCTCCCCAGCACAGCACCTGCCTCTATTTTAGAGACCTTTCTTCCTGTTCTGTAATGCAAGCCTTGCCTTGATTTTCATCACTACCATCCACATTCACTCCGTTGCCAGAACCAAAGTTGTTCTTTGAAAACCAAAAGATCCTCAGCCCTTCCTCTCTCCTGGTGCTGAGGCAGTTCTGCACATCCAAAACAGCCTGACCTGGCAAGATCCAGCCTGTGTATCAGGACCCTCACCAACCCATGTTTCTTCCATGAGGCCTTCATGGCTGTCACAGCAACCGTGAGAATTCCTTCCTACCTTCTTCTAGCTCTACTTTTACATTCCCTTCAAGCATGGGTGGCAACAGACAGCCAAGTTACATCTCAGTGAAGAATGGCTAGTCTTCAAAACAAATCTACAGGCTGACAGCTTTTAGAGGTCTCCCACAAGACTGGATCTAAGAACAGCTTTAATAACTTCCTGATGAATTTAATTTCAAACTAGGGTATTCTAGATCAAATGGTGGCCACTTAGATGATACTCTCTACAGCCAATTTCTGGTATAATAAGACTGACTGCCCCAACCCTTTTCTTTACAGTTACATTTTAAATTATGTTTTTACTATGTTTTACTATGTTTTTTAAACATATAAGCTTGGAGAATTATTATGTTAGTGCATTAATTTCACTGTGTTGATAAAATACCATAAGATAAAGTTTTAAAGCAAGATAGTTAAAATATTTCTTTTACATTTAGTGTGCAAGCATACATGTGCTCTCTCTCTCTCTCTCTCTTTCTCTCTCTCTCTCTCTCTCTCTCTCT